AAAATTATAAAATTTAAATTATAAATTTCAATATATTTTTATTTTTATATTTTACATACAAAAAATTAATTAATTATTTAGATTATTTTATATAAATATATTTTATTAATTTTTTCACATCCTGTCCAGTGCATGTCCATTGCACGGCTTTTCACTAAGTTATTATAAATTTCAAAACTAAGAAAAATATACTTGACCCAAAGTATCAAATAAGAGTAATAGGCAACGTGATAAAATTAATAAGTTAATTAAGCCTTTGAAATGTCTTTATAGCCCCTTTTGGATGCCTATTTGAGCTAAAATAATTATATAAGGTAAAATAAAATATTTTAACGAAATAAGATAAAAGGTCATATTCGATTAATAATTATTTTATTTTTTTTAAAACAAAAGTCAAGAAAAACTAAAAAATCTATCTCAAACGAGATTTTTTAACCTAAGTTAAAATAGTCAAAAAATTAAAAAATTAAAAAGTTAACTCACGTCTCAAATGAACCCGTATGTGAGATATGTGAGATTTGAGAGGACTTCTTGTGCAATAGTTTCGTTACCCATTGCGGTAGAATATACGTCGGAAAAATCTGTAAGGAATAAGACTCATTCCATTTTTGATGTTAACACCTCCCTTTGTTAGGTGGTTGATAGATATAAGATGACTACTTAATAGATATCTGGAGTTTCATTTTTGGATAACTTATAGCTATATCTTGTGAGATTTGTTTAAACTATGATTTGTCACACGTGGTTCTGAAAATTACATTCTGTCTCTTAAAATTTATAATTTCATAACAAATGATAATTTTTTTAAAATAAATTATCAAGTCAATTAATAATTTTTAATAATATCAAAATTTTATTTCAATTAATAATTCAAGTAATTTTATCATTGTATCAGAGAGTAGTTAGTAATTTTATTTTTTCAGTTACGCTAACTAAATAAAAAATAATGATAAGAGGGCATTTATAATTTTTCTAATTATAAAAGACAATTGCATATTAAACAAATCTAGAGAGGTGAATTTGTAATTTACCTTGAGTTTTTCAGTAGCTTTTTGGTTTGGCTTTGACTTTTTTATTGACTTGTTTGGTTTAATTCGTTTTTCAGAAAATTAAGTTTTTTTTTATATTTTATATTTTTTAAAGTAAATTTTATTAATATTTTACACAAATTTTCTGTTTTTTAGATGAAAAAAAAAATTAATGTGAGAGTACGTTGATCTTTTTAATTGGTATAAGCCAATTTTTTGTTAATACACACCGAACACAATTTTTTGACCTTTTAATTTTTTAATTTTTAACGTTTTAACTGTTTTAATAAAAAAATTATATCCCACACCAGGCTTTAATATGTGTTATGCTAGAAATACGACATAAATGATGATAAAGAATATTTAATAAATTTTTTTTATATGATAAAGAAGTCTTTCACATAATAAGGTGGTGACAATTAATGTAATTTCGATGGTAGAAATTGTCATGCTAATTCATGCTTTTAAAATAATGGCAATATGACCTGTAAAGTATCCTCGAACTCATTCAATTCAACATATTAACATTGCATGCAACTATTTTCGTATTGGGAAAGTATTAGAATATATCAATGACATTATTGGGAATTATCTTATAATCAACAGATAGATAATCAACACAAATATCATCATTGTGAGAATAACATCTGTGGCATATTAATTAGTAATCAAGCTCAGTCAATATTTGTATTTTAAATTTTAATATTTTATCATCTTCCTTATTTAAAATTTTTATATTCAAATGTTGTTATTCATTTGGAAGTTTGGTAGTCATTCTGATCGAGTCATTTGGAAGTTTCCAGCAAATAGGTGTTTTATTTTATGGTCAATTATATTCCAATTTACATGCGTGTCTACTTGGAAAAATAGAAACTCCTGTTATTTTGACCTTAGTCACTTAGCATAAAATTTTAAACAAAAATAATATTTAGAATAAAATATCAAAGATATTTTTAAATTTATGTAAATAATAGTGATTGTTTTATTGAAATGAAGTGATTACAACAAATTATATTTTTATATATGAAAATTTTGTAAAAAAATCTCAATAAAAATGTAGCATCCATCATTATTAATATACAAATATAATTAATCTTACTATATACATGTAAAAATTACTAGATTGTTAGTTATATTTACATGTGAAGTTCACCATTTATATGTTGCTTTACTATTAGTTGGTGATATCATATGTCAATAATGATGTGATATCACTATTATATGAAATTTTTACTCAAATTTTGAAAAAATTTGATTTATCTTACCATTATATTACGACTTAAATTTATGACTTTTTTACATTGTCCATGATACATTAGTTACACGCAATACTTTTTTTTTTCGATTTTACTCGAAATTAATCGTAAAATTTTATGTGAAATACTTTTGTAAAATTTTATTATCTTCCTATTGTTAGTTATGAAAAAAAAAATTAAAATTGTAATTAATAAGTGTCCCTTCTAATTTAGTTTTCTGACTCCACTACTGATTGGTAGATTTGTTTTAATGGGCTGGGAACCTTCTAAGAGAGGGTTTCTTAAGCTCACTACGGGTGGGGCAACCAACGGTAATTCAGGACAAACTTATACGAGAGGAATTATTAGGTATCATTCAAGTCAGTGGATTGCATGTGACAACAGAAAGCATTGGTTTATCTTGTAATATTGAGGTTGAATTATGGGTCGTGAGAGATGGTCTTAACCTTGCACTAAACCGGAACAATGTTATCTGGAAGTTGAAATAGACGTTCCACTCTTGAAACTCTTTATCTTGAGAGATACAAGTGAGTATTATTAGTCTAACAATTTCATCTATTTGCTAATACCTCATGCAACGCCTTGAAGTGAGATCAACTAATCACATCTTTCGAGAAGCTAATACCTGTGCGGAGATTCTTGCAAAACAAGAAAACACCATTACAAAAGCAATAATACTAGGTATCATGAAAGAAGTATCATGAAAAATCTTCATGAAGAATCTCCACCCTTGGATTAGTTTATAGTGTTTGTAATGTTTTATTGTATGTTATACAATCACCATTGGATTTGTTTCATGAAACTTTTCATGATATTCTTTTCATGATGCGTAGCATTACTCTTACAAAAGAAGTTATTAGAGATCATTCGGGTCAGTGAGTTAAAGGGTATAACAGACTAGTGATATGACAATTTTACCACTAAATTCTCATGTCCTTTTGTCTTAGAATTATATCTCAAATTTGTGTTTCAAATTTTTTAATCAATTCAATAAGAGAACGCATTCAAACAATTTAAAGTCTAAGGAAGTTTAAAAAAAAAAAAAAAAAGTTTTTGACATTCTAATTCTCATCAATCCTAATACCTCATGGAATGCCTTGAAGTGAGATCAACTAATCACATCTTTCGAGAAGCTAATACCTGTGCGGAGATTCTTGCAAACCAAGAAAACACCATTACAAAAGAAGTTATTAGAGATCATTCGGGTCAGTGAGTTAAAGGGTACAACAGATAAGTGATATGAGAATTTTACCACTAAATTCTCATGTCCTTTTGTCTTAGAATTATATCTCAAATTTGTGTTTCAAATTTTTTAATCAATTCAATAAGAGAACGCATTCAAACAATTTAAAGTCTAAGGAAGTTTTTTTTTTTAAAAAAAAAAAATGTTTTTGACATTCTAATTCTCATCAATCAGTAATAACAATTTATTCTCAATAAATAATGAATCAAGGTCACATAATAACATTGTATGCATTATACACTTAACATTATTGTCTCATCATGTGCCCATCATACCATGTAAGTTGATGTTGTGTTATCAATGGCGGATGGGTCGGACCGGTCCGTGTCTTCTACGAGTCGACTGGTTATTGAATCCTCGATGTGTGCTTGCAAAAAGGGTCCAAAGGAGAAGATAATCCCCCAACGGACACTCCGATGATCAAGTTAGATTGGGCAGACAGTAAATGGTTTTTTGATAGAAAGAAGAAGGGGATGAAGAACTTAACCTTTAACATCTTTCGAAAGCTTTCTTATATCCTTTGTTTATCATTTTCTTATCCGTTCCAAGCTGTCTTGTTGGCCGAAAGTCTATGGCCTAGTTAACATCGTTCATGGTAATTTTGTATACTCCGGCATGAGGGGTCTTACTGCATTTAATGCTTTAGTGGCCTTATTAAATGGTTGATGTGTATGTGTAATAATTTTGCAAGATCTTTGTCTACTTACGTAGTTAATTCCTTACATGACAAGTGTTTGGATGCTATTTGGTCTTGGCCCACCATTGTCTTCTCAAAGTTATTGGGCTTTAATACTTGGGCCGTGAGCTAGGCCCTCCTGAGCCATAGGCTTGGTCCCCTTTGAGTGCCCATAAGTATCATAAGTTATTTTCGTTACGTACATGATTGGGTAGTTTTATTTTCACATATTATTTTAATTCAGATTTCAACAAGTGAAACAAAACTATACGGTTCAAAAATCAATTTCTTAATGAAAATAACTCATGGTTGGATTGTACTTTCTGTTTAGAAGTAAATATTTGAAATTGAACCATATTTTTCTTTCATAAGTTGATTTCAAATCATATAATTTTATATGGTAGTTGATACCCAAATAAAAATTAATGTGTGGACTGAGCAAAAGAGCATGTGGAAATAGAACCACCAACACATGGACTAATTTGGTTGTGTGTTGAATTTCCACATAAAGTGATTTGTAAATAAAAAAAAAAATCATATAAAAAGTCCTACAAAAAATGATGTGACAATAACATTTTGAAAATAACACAAATCTATCATGTTATTGTGTACGATTTTTTTTGTACAATTTTCTGTTTACATATATTATTTTTCACACCTTTCTCGGGGTGCAAGTTGTCAATATTTTGAATTTTAAGGGTTAAGTAAAAACTTCCAAAACTTTATGGTGGTTTTATGTAATTATTATTCCTTACTTTGATCTTTCAGAGTAGAAAAATGAGTCTGGATCCTCTGCCATTGTTTACTGCGTCCCTTCCAGCCGTGTTCCAAAACGACGTCGTTTTGGTTTTTGTCCTTTTTCCTGTCTGCCTCTTTTCTTTTCTCTCTCAGGCTGATAACCCTAACCGACGGAGCAAGAACAACGGCGGAGCCGAGGCGACGGCGAGGAAAGGCGACGGCGGCGGTAATGGATCCTCAACTTGCTCCTCCTTGAAATTTCCAGCTGCCCCCACACCACACACTCTCTCTACCCAAGCCCCACCCAAGAACTAGAGAGAGAGAGAGAGAGAGAGAGAGACAGGGAGAGAGAGAGATTCAAAGCAGGATTGATTCAAAGTTTATTGAGTTAAATTTCAACTCTTTCTATTCAATTCCATCAGTTACTGCGATTTTTCTTCCACACAATTATTCTATGTTCTTTGGAGCAAAACCATTTTTGTTTTAGATTTCTGGGTTCTTTTTTAATCTTGTGTTTCCATTGTTGTGGTGCTAGTTCTATCTCTGCAACGATAAAAGGGGTGATTTCTGGGGAACAGACGAGAGAGAGAGAGAGAGAGATTATGTGTTTTTGTGAAGCTGCATGCGTATATTTCTCTCCTTATATTGAATTGGGTTTTTGGCATTTGTTTGTTTTGAGCTGAAACGTTGTATATAAACATAATTTCCAATATATATTTTTTGTTTCTCTTAACTTTCTTAGCAACCAAACAGATGATTACCAAGATGTCTTACCTGCAACTTCATAAATATAAATTCATCGCGCCATTCATGTTATTTCACTGTTCAAACGTGTACCCAAAAAGTAACAAATACAAAAGACTAAAAATTTATTTAGATTATTATGCCTTTACAAAAGTAATGATTTCACATGAACATATTTTCACTTAGTCCTAATTGGTTATGGCACTAACTCTTGCTGGGTAAGCTTAATTTCCAAAATTTGGAGGTCCTATTGTAACCACTGCTGATTCTTAAATGTTATGTGCACTATTAGTTTTTCTACTCTGTTGCATATATCATAAATCATAATATTTATTGTTTTATAAGATGTTATTTCTGAACTTATTAGTCTCTGGGTGGGTGGCTACTTGGAGTTTATATATAGGGACGGGAAGCCGCTATTCTTCATCCTATCTTCCTCGGGGGCATAATGACATTACAGAAGTTCCAACAGAGAGTCCCTTACTGTTTTGTGTAGAAAGACCGTATTGGAATTAGTTTCTTTTATGAATATTGCATAAAATTATCTCCTTGTTTAACAAATAAGTTAGTGCATATTCTTTAGAACACACATATGACAAGAAGGTTGCTAATTTAAGAAAAAAGTTACAATGCAGTGATGGCTATTTTGTGTGGAAGATCTTTTGATGGTGTAGACCCCTCTATTGTTGGTTCTGGGGTTGTATTGGTCCTTCCTTGAACCAATTTTTTGGAATTTGTAGAGAATTTTGAGTAGCTTTTTTTGATATATAGGTGTTTTGAACAGTTTGATTTCAATATACTTCCTACTTGTCCAAAAAAAAAAAGAAGAAAAGCCAAGGTGTTATTTTCATCGACCCTGAAATAATTACTGTGCAAGCAAATATATTCTCAATTGCAAGGTTCCCAGTAAAAATCATTATTTTGGTTAGTTGTGGGAATCTCTGGTCACATTTTGCAAAATTGGGATAAGTTTTACTCTAGAGACATCCTTGAAGTCCTCATATATGTTTGCACGTCTGCATACAATTTCTTCTTTTACTATTGTTTTGTGTTACACAATATATTTTGTTTATCCATTCATTGTTTACAATTGAATTTGTTCCGTTTCATGGGAATTATTTGAAGGTATTCCCATATTGTAGAATTATGTGAATGCTTATGGCCTGGTTCATATGTTATTCACATCCCCTAAATTTCATTTAATTCTCACTGCTGATGTTCTATCAGAGTAAGTGATGGCCGAAGTCATTCTAGGGATGCCAGGACCATGGGCTGATGATAATTATGAAGCATCTGATCATTATACGACAAAAATTGGTGGAGTTCCTGTAAGTTACTGCATGTGATGTGGTGGCATGTAATAATATTATTGGAAGATGTGGTAGCATGTAGTAATGTTATTGGAAGATATGCTTTGCTTAATTTTAAGGTGTAAAATCTCTTCTTGACAGGACTGGCCAATTCCAAATACTGCCATAAGACCTGATCTGCTTTTGTGCATTGCATGTGGAAGCAATCTCTGTCTTGTTTCACAGGTTTCAGATACATGCGATTTTTCTTGTTGAACATCTATCATTTGGAATGAGGGTTAGATGAAACTAATTTTCTTACTGACCTTTCTAATTTTCTGTCTCACATACACTTGTACACACAATTTGGCCTTAGGTCTATGCTCCAGTTTCGAGCAAAACTTTGAAGACTGAAGAACGTGCAATCTATGTTTTTGGTTGTGTAATGCCAAAATGTGGGAGCTCTCCCATGAGGTCTTCTTTAAATTTCTCATTTAATCTTAAGAAGATTACGTTTCACACTATGTGGTTTGCCCCCAAATCACATGCCCCCTATAGCTCAATTTAACTCTTTATGGTTTTAGATTGATATGTAAATTTATTAATGAATTTTTTAAAAAGTCAATATTGTGCTGAATACTCAACCAAACATAGCCTAAGAAGCACCATGATCGTCCTACATCACAAACTAAGAAGCACCGACACTCCAAGATGTGTGCTGTGTTCGTGTCTAATATGGTGGGGACATGCATGTCCACATGCCTGACACGCTATGCGGCGTGTCAATTTTTAAAATTATTAATTTTTTTGTAGGACATGTTGGAGACATTTCATGGACACGTGCCTTGTGTTTGAACATGCTTCGGGTCATCTTTGTAAGTTTTAAATAATTTTAGAAAGCTGATTTGAGTTCAAAGTAAAACATATGGCAATAAAGAGGGGAAAAGTAAAAAAAATGTACACCCACATATATTGATGCCTCTCATATCTATGTATCATGAATTTATATTCGCACACATAGTGGATAAAATATATATTTTTGCAGTATCCTCACAGTGTCCATATCCTAATTTTTTGAGAATCATTGTCTCCCGTGTCCGTGTTGTGCTTCTTAGATCACAAATATTCATTAAAAGAGTTTGTTTGGATAACATGACACTTACAGTTGACAAAACCACATTATTTTCAATATTCATTATGTGCAGTGTGCATACCTCCACTTTTTGGGAATTTCTTGATTGAGTTTGTAAAGAACGTGAGAGGGCGGATGGAATGGTATGCAATAGTGATGGTTGGTGGTGGGCTAAGAAGCATGGACATGGATATGTAACACAACACGGATACAACACGGACATAACGACATGTTAAATTGTTTTGTTTAGACTTATAATTAGTTTCACATGTGTTCAATTGATAGACACGTGTGTTTATGTGATTGACACGTCTGTCCTCCAAGTGTCCAAAGAGTGTCCGGGTCTTTAAAAAAAATTTAAAAATAGGACACGTTTTGAAAAGTGGCGGACACGTGTTCTAAGAGTGTCCAAAGAGTGTCGGTGTCCAACATAGACACGACACGGGTACGTTACTTTCTTAGAAGTGTCTGTGCTTCTTATTTGAGGCAAAGTCGGGAGTGGTGGGGGTGGGTGGCGAATGCTGAAGGAGGAAAGTGATGAGGAAGAAGAAACAAAAAGAGACTTGAAAAAAATGTGAGCATGGTAGGAAGTCTGCCATGGGCCATGACCGTGTGGTGAGGAAGGAATGAGGATAGAGAAAAGGAGAGGGAAAGGAAAAATAGAAAAAGAAGGCTTTTGAGAGCATTCAAGTCATGTTAAAATTGAAGTATTATTTATTGATGTATGTTGATTCATTCTGTCTATTACAAATGGTTCCTTATATAGATGTAGGTGTAGTGGATGGTGATAGTGGTGTAGTGGGTTAGGTTTAGTGGAGTAGGTGAGGTGGTAGTGGTGGTAGGTGATGAGAAAAGGAGAGGGAAAGGAAAAATTGAAAAATAAGGCTTTTGAGAGCATTCAAGTCATTTTGATGGAATACAATTGAATTTTAAGAATAAAAAATAGAATTGTGGTGTGTGAAAACCCCAGACAGTTAATTTACATTTTAGTCATAACCACAAAGGGGTTAACTGACTTTTGGGCTATAGGGGATTATGCATTTTTATGACAAATTACATGGGGTAAACTGTGATTTCCCTTTAATCTTTTATCAATTAAATGTAAAGTGCTTTTCAGGACCATAAATGATAAATTTAATACTTTTTTATGGTGTTACTCTGGTTACATATGCAGTTGGCGAGCTCTTCGTGTTCAGAAATCTTTCAGTGTTGAGGAGTCAAATATAATCTGTCATGAAGTGGTACCTAAAGCTACATCTTCCCTTTCAGATTCAACCAGTGATTGGCGGGAGGATTTATGGACATTCGACTCTAGAGAAGATGATGGAAATGATGATGACATAGATCTAGAAGAGTTGGGTATGGCATTTTCTGAAGCTGCGAGCTTGACTTATCTTCCAAAGAAACAAAATAACAATTGTTATCCCAAGTCTAACGTGGAGCCTTTGCCTGTAAGCAATACAACAAGAGTACACAATAATAAAACACCAGGTATAATGCGTTTTCTGAAAGGAATTTTTAACATAATTTTGCCATCATCGATAGTGTGCTTAGTTTATAAAAGTATGTTGTCTTTAACCATAATGGTTCTTATGAATTTGTTAGCCATGATTGTAGTCGTTTGAATGTGTCATGATAATACGCCTTTTATGCTCAGTGCTGGTTATGACTGGCTTCTGTTCATTTAAGATAGATAGAAATCAAAGCCTTAAATTGGTTTTCAAATGCAGATTTAAAAAAATGAAGACATAGAGAGCATAAAATGTTGAAAGAGAAGTTATTTCTGATATGCCTTCATGATATGGTTTAGTAAATTCATGATATGATTGGGTTATTAGCTTTCTCACATGAAAGGACATGTAGAAAGTGTCTTTATCAAGGAAATTTGTGGCATAAAATCTTGTATACTTCGTGCTTTGATTATTTCCATGGTTTAGAGGTCGTGACCTAGCTTGATGGCAAGTGCTATTCACCCCTAGCCTTGTGGTGCGGGCTCGAGCAACAAAGTGAGGGGAAAACTGCCTACCTGCTACCTCTCCTAGACCTAGAAGTGGGAGTCTTGTACACCAGGTATGACCTTCATTATTTCCAAGGCTTGAATGACGGTGACACCATTTACGCGTGTCTAGAAATTCTCTTAGCATTTAATGTGCGCTAGAGAGCAATAGGTTCATGAGGGAAGAGAAGTCCATGGATTGGTTTTTCATTTGAGTGACCCACGCATTATGTGAATTTTTATTCTTACCTAAGTCAGATACAAATGATCTGCTGTAAACTTAGTAGATTACCTGAAAAAGTTTTTGTCATTTCCATTTTATGTAAAAATTATTTGATTTCCTGATTGTTTTGACTCAACATCTAATTATTGCAATGGGGTGCTTCTATGTGTGATGTTTTGAAATGGTTATGTCTGGTTCATGTGTTTGTTGCTTCTAGTGTTGCCTTGCTTCTACATATACACCCAGGAAGAGGCATCCTCAAGGGAAGTTACTTCTATTTGTTCGAGTTATACCTCGCTCTTCATCAAAGAAAAGCAAAATGATCTTGATGTTCATGCACATGAGGAAACATGGGAAGAGGAGGGTTATGAATATGATAGAGCTTTGAATGCTGACAGGACTTACCTCAAGTTCAAGAAACGAATGGATGCATACCCAGAGCAATGTTTCAGGTATTGAATCCCTTGAAAACCAGTCCTTATTAACAAATCTTATATCATTGGTACTATTTGGTAAGTCCTCGAACACTTGCCTCTTCAAGTGTTGCATTGAATAATCCCAGTTGCTTCTGATTCATCTGGTGCAATGGTTAAAGCAACTTCCATGATTCTCATGCTTTACTTGCCAGGAGGTGACCTAAACTAGAGACAATTGTATATGCTTGTGTTGGTGGACCTTGTAAATATTTCCAAAAATTTGAAATTTCTTAGAGCCAATAAGTTGAACCAAAAAGTTATGCTGGTTTGTCATCTGGTTCTTGTCTTCAACGTCTAGAGAAAGAGCTAAGAGGTTTTTCGATAAAGGTTAAATTACTAATGAGAAGTTTTAGTGCTAAACCTTAAGTCTTAAGTTTTGAAAATAAAGAATTTGATGGTTGATTTATTCATAAGATTAGAACTTAAAATCCATCTTCCATGAAGCGTATTTAGGACTCGGTGATAAGTCAAATCTCTATAAATCAAACATTTTAGGCTTTGGCATCTAAGTTATCAAATGCACCTCATATAAGATTCACTGAAATTTTTATGCTTATGCACTTAACATGATTATCAACCAACAGGTTGACATCATGACAACTTAGAGACTTGAGGCTTTAATATGAAGGTTGAGGGACCAATTGGATACTGCTTTGGTGCAAGGTTTAGCTTATTTTCTTTATGTTTTGTAGTTTTTTTTTTTCCCTTTCTCTTCTCCTTTGGCAAGGGGTTGATCTTGTTGATTTCTCCACTTAATGGGGAATTTTGTTTTTTTTTTTTAAAGATGAGCTTCCAAAATGAAGCATAACAGATGTTTTTTGGGGTGGTGCTTGGAGTGATGTCTTTGGGGAAATTGAGGGCGGTTGCTTCTTTCTTTTGTATTTTTTTCTTCTTTCTTTTCTTGTGTTATTTGATTGTACAAGAGTGGGGCTCCTGTTGGTATGCTTTCTCATACAATTTTCTTTGTTGTTGACAAAAAATAAAAAAAGAACTTCCAAAATCTGATTGGCTAGTGGATTTTCAATTTTAAGTCAGTATAAATTATCGAATGCACTTGGTATAAGATCAACTAAATTTTTTAGACTTCAGAACTTAAAAGATTATCAACCAACACCTTCAAATCAAGTCAATCAGGGAACTTGAGATTAGGACATCAAGGTTGAGGGGCCATGTCATGCTCAGTTCTTTTATTTTATTTTTATAGAAAATTGTATTTGTTCCATTTTCCATCCCAGGGTTTGAAGGTGTTGAAAAGTCAAAGTGGTTTGCCACATGGGGGTCTAAGAGTTTGGGTCAGTCCATAGTGGTTCTGACAATCTTATAGACCTACCTAGTCAACCAATCTATGTCAGTAGCGCCAGTTTCAACCAACAAACTTCCAATGCTAGTTCACCTGGTTGACCAAATGAACTATGAAGTCCATTTTTCATTGTCTCCTTGGTCTCATTGTTGTCCAAAGCTTTCTCATTGTCGTCCAAAGCTTTCTCATTGTCGATGAAACTCTTCCACAACATTCTTGAATCTTCCAAGTTATGTTATGTATCTTGTCCAACACAAATATGGTGCCGGTGAAACTCTTCCATAGCAACTTCCATGCAAATGAAAATCTCCCATAGCATCCTTGCTTCCAAGTCTCTATGGCTAATGTGCTCTCTGAGAGGTAGTGGCTTAGGCTCTACCTAAGGTGCACATTGCATAGTAATGAAACCTTTTTTCAGCTTGTTTTCTTTATTGTTTGAAGTATTGGGTTGTGTTTGGAACATGGATTTGAGTAGGGATTTTGAAAGAGAAAGGAAAAGGCGAGAAAATAGAGGAAAAATTTAGCTTATATTTCATTCACATTTCCCTCACTTTTTTCTTTCCCTTTCCAAATTCCTACCCAAATCCATGATCCAAACATAGCCTTAGGTGTTTTTCTTCATGTCGGTAGCTTGCTTGGTACAATTTCTTATTGTTGAACCAACGATTTTGGTTAAGCTTGCCTTGTAGGCTGAATGCTATTTTTAACATGTAATAACATCTGGTCATTTCCTAGTATCCTGATACACTGAAGGAAGAAAAGTAGTGAAAAAAGGAAAGTAAGAGAAAGAGAGAGTTGATAAAAAACTGAGAAACAAGATGCTTCCCATTGACTTCTTCTGCTGCTTCATTTTATTTATTTGTTTTGCCTGCCCTTGGACAATCTTTTCATGCTATTTTGCACTCAGGTACTCATATGGTGGAAAGGCACTGTTTGCTACAGGAGGGGCTGGAGATCTGGGGACATGCAGGCTCTGTGGTGGGTCAAGGCATTACGAAATGCAGTTGATGTCCCCGGTGTTGTATTTTCTACAGGAAGAAGCTCGTGCTTGTCAGGAATATTCTTTGGAGAACTGGAACTGGATGACATTAATTGTATACACTTGTTCTGAGGTGGGTTTTTTTAACTATGTTGATGAATAAATAAATACAAAGCATGTTATATATAGTTGTTCACATGTAATTGTTTTCGATAGCAAATTGCTTTCTCTGAATTGATCTGATCGACCCTAAAAACTGCCTACTGCAAAACTTATATTTTGAGCACTCCTTAATTTTCTTAACAAGTGATATGATAGTTTTTATTTGAGACATCTGTGGGGCAGAGCAGATGGAATGAAAAGTTGACTGGAAATTATTGAAGTTTTTTGTGAAATTCACCAAAAAGAAAAAAAAATTAAAATCTGTGATTAGTGGTTATGAATGGTAATGATTCATGAACCATTACTTGAAGTAATGTAAGAGAACCAAATAGCATAGACATGGACACACGACATGGATATGCCAACACGTTAATTTTAAAAAAATGTAGGATACGACACACTTGAGCTATGTTAAAATTTTAAATTTTTACAAATTTATTATGTCACATATAAATAATTTATTCAAAGATAATGAAAAATAGGTAACATAACACTAATTATATTTTTAAAAGTTCATATATTTCATAACTTGATCATCAACATATCATTCTCATAACAATTATAGAACATTATAATACACATGATGTGTTCATCTTGTAAATGTTTCAAAACATATTTTGAAGAGATTCATCACATAGGATGTGCTTGGAGGGTTCAGGAAGTGTCCGTAAATTGTCGGCTATTATGAATTTGATTTTTTAATTAAGATACATTGAAAAAGTGTTGGACATAAAGAGTGTCAGTGTTCGACGTAGGTGTTGGACACGACGCGTTTCCTCCTCAGAAGTGTTGGTGCTTCTTAGCAAGAGAATAAAGAGGAGAGATAGTGTTTATGTTTATGTTTGTTTGGCTTTCAATTTTACGTGGTGACAAATAGATTATTTCATGTCTGTTGGTAGTTGTGTGGATGATTGTTTATGTTTGTTTGGCTTTATCAAACTGCTTATTTTGTTTTAAGCTAGATAACGATTCAGTTCTTGTTTTGATCAGAGCTGTTCCAAGTCCAATCAAGAGAACTTCGACTCTGAAGGCTGGATTGTAGCAGAGGAGGCTGTTATAGTACAATGCGAGTAAGTCAGTAGCATGAATTTTATCACATGTTTATTTTGTAATATATAGTTTTTGTGACATGAATCGTAGTACTGTTTTTGGTAATCATGAATTGAGGATGTTGGAGGTTGTGTTGATAATGATTTTGTTTCTAGTTTGATTGCAGAAAATGAAAGTTGGCTTTTTTGTTTATTACAAAAATATGCGTAGAAAAATAAAGAGGTGATGTGAACCAAAATAAGCCAATAAGGTGGCTTTTTTAGATGTCGATTCAAACGCAGTCTTAGTGTTGTCATACGAAGAGAAGATTAATGGGAAGATATTAGGACCTCAAGACTGGATGTGTAAATTTTGCATTTCACTCAGGTTAGGTTGTAGTTGGATCTTAGATTTGTGAAGGCTTAAATAAAGGGAAGGAAAAAGTGAATAAAACGCAAGATATATATATATATATATATATTTAATCTTTCCCTTCTCTCCACAAATCCTTCTCCAAAAACAGAGCATTATGACCTTAATGAGAGACAAATCTCAAGTTTATATTGTGTAGTTTTAGTAGCTACAGAACAACACTAGTTTTGGCAAAGGTCATTCACTAAAGTCAATTTTAATAGTTTCAATTTCATTTTCTTGCATTTTGTGCACAGTTTTCCCCCAGAGGAAAATTTGCACATTGCACTCCATCTCTGTTATGTCGATGGCATAATTACTCGAGTTACACTTAGCTTCAGTTCTCTTTTTTAGGTCTTGTTTGATTATCAATATGAATTTTGTGATCACAATAAAATGAGATTATGAATAGAATTAATACAACATAAGATAATGAATGAGATTAGTAATTTATCACAGAAGTAATTGTATTATGTTTGGGTTATCGTAGAATGTACTTTTTTAGTTTATTTATTTTTGATGCATGTGAAAAGGATATACGAGGGTGATGAGTGAGTGGCAATTTTACTTGAAGAAACTGTTGGGAATGAGCAGTATTTTTGTTTTGTTTGAAAATGGTTAGTTGAGACCTCATGATTTATCAAAGACAAATCAAATCATTGGTTTGTTCTTATTTTTTAATCACCTGATCAACCGTTCAGATTAAAAACATGATAGACGGGTGTATTCAATTGGTACCTTTCATGAATGGGTATATATGTCTTTATGGAAAAAAAACAGAGCATCTATAAAAATGGTTATAGTCTAAACATTTTCTGTATAAAAACTATTCACCATCTCTCTTCTCTCTCCCTCCCTCTCTCTCTCTCTCTCTATATATATATATATATATATGGTTTCTATAAACATAAGGATTTTGTGGAAGCTTGTCATGTTTACATATAAATGTGGAATACACAAAACAAAACAGGGGATTAAGAAGAAGCACAAATTAATTAACTAAATTACAAAATTGATAGAATTTTTATTAATCTCTTCTCATAATCCTAAATCAATTTAAATACAAAATAGGATACGCAATCTAAAAAATTGATAATCGCAACAACTTTGTCCCCTCGTGATGTCCCCGTGGATTTACTAATGAAAGGGAGAGGAGTAATAGCTGTGTCGGTGGCTGAATTTGATAGTATAATTCAATTTCAGATGATGATGATATTTCTGGTAAAGTAAGTACACACGAAGCCACTTCCTAGTTCTTAGAGACAATACTACTACTAATAAGTGTAACTCTCATAATTAATTCACATATTTTTTGACTCAACCTTTTTGGCAATTGCCCATATAATTAACTTTCACGTTAAAAAGAAAAGAAAAAAAAAGAAAATTGTTTGCCAATTGCTTATATTGAAGATAATACTAAAAAAGTGTATTAAAATCTAAAAAATCTAAGCATGCATTTGGTTTAGTTTTTTTTTTTTTTTTTTGATCAGACATTTGGTTTAGTTTTGAAATTATGATTCTAATAAAAATATTTTAGAATTCTTTTCAAAATTCATAACTAAACACACAACTCAAAACTCTTTTTAAAATTTAAAACCAAACTCTTTTCAAAACTCTATTTACAAACAAAAATTAAAAAAAATATATTCTTTTTATTTTTTTTTAAAATTATTTTTAGAATCATGATTTGAGTAAGAAGTCATGTTTTGAAAAAAGAAAATTTGCTTAGTTATAAGTTTTGAAAAGAGTTTTGAGTTTTTTTTCAAAAAATAGAAAATATAAAATAATTTTAAAGGACAAAATAAAAATATTTTTTTTGAATTTTTTTAACAGAATTTTGAAAAAAGTTTGGTTATAAGTTTTGGGGTGCCTCTATTTATATACCATCTTTTATCTCAAGCCATACCATTACTTAGTTTATTTTTTATTATAATATTAACCTAATGTAAAATGATCACAAAGGACAAAGGGCTATGATATACACTTTCTGTAAGATTACCATAAATGACAATAATAAATACAATACACACCTCTCTTCTAAAACGTTACTTACGTATCTTTTCTCTCAAGAACCTAAAAATCCAAAAACAAAACCAAAAATCCTTAAAAAAAAAAAAATATACGTATTATTGAATATTTTGATTGGGCTGAATGATGGATGCATCTGACAATATTGGTTTGGAACAATGGAGCAAGGAAAATGCTAGTTTTTCAATTTTTTTTTGTTTTTTGTTTTCGTGTTCTTGCCGAGTGGTTAACCGTTTGTATTTGTTCAGATATCCAAATTTGAACAATGTACTCATGTACAACCAAACAAGTTCTAATTGTTTAATTTTCTAGTGTCGAATATAGTCTACATGTTTGATTAATAAGTTCCGAACTTATAACATTTGTTCGGTTTTCAAAAGTCGAACTTTTGAACTTAGCTCGACTCTATATTTCCAAACACTTATAACAATTTTTTTTTTTTTTTTGGTTTTTCCAGAATTGGGCATCCATGGAGGGGGTCATGAACCAGAAGAGAATGGAGTGAAGTCGTCTTTAGCATGAATAAAAGATCGGTTTAGATTGGTTTCTAAACCTCTGAGATGACAATATGTGGGCTCGCCTTTTTCCGCGCCCCGCCTTTCGGAAAGGGTTTGGAAAGAAGGCCTCGCAATTCGGACTCCCGCAGTTCTGAATCTAATCTCACAAAGTGCAATGTGAAACCGATAAACACCAAAGAGTCTAAATTCGACAAATCTTTTTGGAAAATTGATTTTAAATCATATAATTTCAAAATTGGACTGCTTTGCCAGATTACAGAGTCGCCACTTAAATATTTTATTTTTGAAAAAATTTAGAAAACATTGACTCGTGCCAAAGGCCACGTGTCCGTCATTACCAAAGTTGCCTCGGCTCGGGAACTTAGGCACGAGAGAGGAAGGTCATAGAAAGAGCACCCCTGCTCGCCCAATCAAAGGATCGGCCTCTATTAATCATGATATGATGTTTTATAAACATTATGTGTTCTTATTCTGATTATTAGCCAACATTACTATATGACGCACACAAGCAAGTATAGACTAAAATTGCAAGACTTGGAACAATTTAACTCATGTTTGTTTGCGAAAATGGTTTGAAGTTGCCACCCTCAAGTGAGCTTAAAGCGCAGATTTGCCACCAAACAAGATGGGCTTAAAACATGATTTGCCACAACAAAGTGGGCTTAAAACTTATATTTGTTGAATCGTTCCAATTCAAACAACAAGCCTTCATCCACAATAGTTTAGCATTTAAGAACATAGCCTCATGGCAAGCATGCTATTCATAGCAATATGGAAATCACACTCATGCAAGTACGCTAAAGCATAAAATTCACCGAGTATTACAAGGCAAAACAAAAAACTAGTTAGAAAGATGTATGATCCTAACTATACAAGATGCCTAATGTAACACATGCAATAATGTAACTAAATATGCTCAGCTACTAATATGGCATTTGCAACACTTTGATAGCATGCTTTGAAACACGTATTCAAAGAATTTATTGAAATTGCAATGCAGTTTGAATGATGCGCCGAGCCTCGGTGCATGCAATACAATGTATGGATGCAAGCATGGAAACATAAGGTATGCTAATCAAAACATGATCCCTAATCTATCCATCAAAAGCAATTAAATAAAAGGGAGAAAGACGTGAGGTTGGAAGACATACACACACGCACACATATTATAACACTATGCCCTCGCGAAGGAGGGTCCGAATGAATAAGCTAACTAGGTGCGCTTATTAAGCTAACTATTACAAACCAAAACTAATTAACTATTCTAGCTAATTATTACAACAATTGAAACAAATTAAATAACTATTCTAAGCTAGCTAAATATTACAAACCGAATTAAGCTAATTATTACAAAACGAATTAATTAACTAAATAATTACATCATTTGAATTAACTAGCTATTCTAAGCTAACTAAAACAATTAAATAGCCTCAAGGGTGAGGGACGCATGCATGCTCGGTTGCTTCACCCGAAAATACCACCGTCTAGCCATCTGATGCCTCTATTTGCACTCGTTTGATCACTGAAAATTATGCCAACTCCCAGAATGCCTCTGCTCCAACTCAGGAGCACACTTGTGCAATTTTTCATTGGTGGCTGGTTGGCTACCAAAGGTGGCCGTCAGCTACCACAACTGGCCGGTCGGCTACTGCTAGTGGCCGTCGGCCACTACTTCTGGCCGGTCGGCCACCCATGCCCTGAACATTCTTTTTTGCTGCAACAGAGAGCAAATAGAGGTAAAGTAGTTTATTCTCATGGTTTGTGTGCATTGCTACTCTCATTATCATTACATAAGTTCAAAGGAGTGTAATTCTCAGCCCTCAAACCATCAACCAAGCATTTTCAATGCATGATAGCTAAGGAGCCAAGCTTGCACAAGTTAATGAATGCAAAACAAGACTCGACAAAACCACAACCCTATTATGCATGATCAAGGGTGATGGTGACCAAGAAAAGTGACACGTTTTATCACTTTGAGTATGAAACATCCAATTTTTCTCGTGTTCGAATTAATGTCCGATCCGAAAACATGCAATGCAACACAAAGATGCTTTATCTTGCCTCTTTTACTTTGTTCATTTTGTGTACATATTTTAACTTACCAATCCATTCTTTAATTAATTAGTCCAAAAGGTGAGTGTCCTCTAATGGAAAGAAGGCTTAAACCACAAGTACCTTGAGCATGAAAGACGCCTCATGCTATTGGTAATGAACTTCTGAAGGAATTAAATCATTAGGCATGAGGGTCTCAATTTCACACTCAAGCCAACAAGGGGTTCAAGGCCACTTTCAATATAAATGAAGAAGTGAAGAATAGAGGGAGATTGCAGAGATTTCAGTATTGCAAAATGACACTAAAACATGTAAGGAACTCATGAAATTCATGCTAAAAAGCCTAAAACATTAAGCTAGTGAAGCCTCTTTACACTACAACCACACAATACAAGCCTCAAAGGACCAAACCAGCTCAAAATAGTGCTGAAACTACTCAAAACAGTAGCAAAAACATGCTGAGATTAAAGTACAAAATGCTAGAAAAACATGCTCACATGTTAAGCTAATCTAGGCTTGCAAACAAGACACAAGGAGGGAAGGCTAACCCTTCCAATTTTGGACTTCAAAACAAAGTTTTTACCACTGAAATAACTCTGAATTTCAGTGGTTTAAAGGCCCAAAACGTTTTATGTGAATATGCTAAAAAATGGTACAAAAGCTTACACAATTAAGCAACAAGAAGGGTGGATCACCTCTTAGCACAAAATAGCCTCAAACCATCATGTTAAGCCTAAAAAAATAGAGTTTTTTGTAGTTGAAAACCAGCTCAAAAACAACACAAAAAGATGGCAAAGTAAGTAGTCAAAACAAAGCTTACAAGGTGAGTCTTATACCTCTTGAAGCACAGCACAAAATAGCCTCAATTTTAGGCTCAAACCTCCTTTCAAAAGCTCAAACTAGGCTCCAAGGGACCTCAACTCCAAGGTGGTCAAGTTTGGTTAAGGGGTAATGTGCAAAGGTGTAGAGGAAACTAACTACCAAGCACAAAACAAGAAAAGAGAGAGAGAAATCTAGAGAGAGAGGGAGAATTTTGATCCAAATTTTCTAACCTCTCCAAATAGGGGAGAGCACCCCTTATATATAGAAAAACAAGATTGGAGCTTGTATTCATCCTTCCATACACGTGTATGGAGATGCATTTCAGTGAACAACAGCTGGCACAACAGGCAAACAAATATCTAAAAAAGGAGACAAATGGTCGCCGGCCACTCTCAGTAGCAGATTGGCCACCTCAAGTGGCCGTCGGCCATCACAAGTGGCCGACAAGCACAAACAGTGGCCGACAAGGCCTAGGACTGGCCGACAAGATCCCTCCCCCTTCTAGGGAAGAGGCAACAAGGTTTGGCTCAAAGACAAGGTGTTCCGTTGAAGACTTTGGGCGCTCCAAATGAGCTCAAACAAGCACAATCATCAAGTGCACAAACGATGACGTCCAAGTCTTGATGTCCGTCAAAAATGGGATGTCTACAGTTACACCTCTTTGATAGAACTCGGAGGTCATGAAATGACGGGAGTGAATGTCAAAGACCAGAGACGACCCATTTTGACAAGGCCGAAGACTCGGACAAACAACCAAACAAAACAAAGAACGGTTGTGCCTGCAGGCTGCCTACGTATCCCTTTGCAAGGAATCAAATCAGCGTGGTTCTGGGGCAAGATGCAAAATGATATATACGATGCAACAACATAACTTATGATTATTTAATGAGGCTATAATGAAAGTCTAGATGAAAGTGCTATGCAAAGAAATGCTACAGCTATCTCATTATATGTGAAGAAGTAAGTAAACATGAACCAAACCACATGTCATGCAGAAAGGATGTAAGAAAATTATGCAATCTTTGCTACGTATCACGCAGGAAAGGCAAAGAACAACACAACCATTGGTTGCACCCGAGGTGTCAAACAAGATCCTAACGCGTAGCACACGCGAGAAGAGAGATGGTGTGAACCCAGGGACACACCCTAATGTTCCGAATCGAAAAGAGTAGTGATAAATATTAGAACACGTCCAAATATATGAAACCAAAACAAAGGGTAGTATAAGCATCGAAACTCGTCCGAATGCATTAAATAAAATGTTCTAACGTGTCGAATGCGAGAGGAGAAGAGAGCGGTGTAAACACCAGGCATATCCGAATGTTTCTAACAGAAAGCGTCCTAACACACCACACGCGAAAGGAAAAAGGGGTAACGAGAACACCGGGGCACACCCAAATGTCTCTAACCGAAGCATCTTAACGCGTCACACGCGAGAGGGGAAAGGGAGTGGTATAAGCATCGGAACACGTTCCAAATGCTTCTAACCGGGGGGTGGTATAAACATCGGAGCATGTCCCAATGTTTCTAACCAAAATAGGGTGGTATAAGCATCGGAACACATTTCAAATGCTTCTAACCGGGGGGTGGTATAAACATCAGAGCACGTCCCAATGTTTCTAACCAAAACAGGGTGGTATAAGCATCGGAACACGTCCAAATGCTTCTAATCAAAACAAGGGGGATCAAAGGGTAGGAGCTGTCTCACCTGGAACTCCTCTGAATGAACCATACATACATTATCGTCTGGTTGCACCAGCTTTGGATGAACCGTACATACAATATCGTGCCTGCATAAAAAAGAAACTTAACAAGCATAATATAGCAAGCGTGCACGTTCTACGCAAGATTGGCAAAGCATGTTCTATGTAGTAATAACAAAAGCATGTTCTATGCAAGAGATAAAGAAAACCATATTCTATACAATAGGATAGGAAGCACATAATAATCAATCGCGAAAATGCATGTACAATGTGAGGATTAACAACATGCTTGATGCAAAATACCGAATAAAATGCACGTTCTATGCAATGGTAAAAAACATGTCTAAGAAAACTGATTCAGTTGCAACCTTTGATTTACCTCTCGGAGGAGTAACAATATATGTCAAAAAGGATACACCTCGTTCATACCGACTGGTGATGAGTCATGGACTGAAAACAATGGTTCGAAACTTCCGTAGAGACACTTTGAGCTAAAAAGTGAACTTCCCTTGCACCTTCTCGAGAACCAAGGACACAAAATAGCATAAAAACACACAGGGAGAA